TTTGTTTTTAACGCAGGAGCACTTTTCAAATCAAAACACTCTTATGCTACTCTAGCAACAGCTTCTACTTCCAGGTGAAATTAGATGATTCATCAATAAGGTGATAGTGAAAAGCTATTAACATTCATTGAATACTTATTGCATGTACATTATCTCATGTCTCATAGCAATCTTATCAAGTAGATTTTTATTATCTCTATTTTTACACACCAAGAAACTGAGGCTTAAAAAGGTTAAGTGGCTTGTGTAAGCTATTAGGTGTCAGAGTCTGACTTCAAATTCAGGTTATCTGACTCAAGAATCTAGGTACTAGGTAAATACATCATGCTGACCCTACATGTAGTATTTAAGGCAGGTCTTGTCTCTCTCACTTGTTCCAGATGCCCAGTGCTGCAAGTAACAGAAAACCCAGTCAATGGCTTAAACACCAAGCACTCATTATCTTATTTCATAAGATATCAGATGATAGAATAATTCGAGTCTCATTTAGAGGCTCTACGATGTCATCTGGGATCTGAGTTCCACCTATTTTTTAGCTCTGTCATTATGAGTCAGCAGTTCCAATAAAATTGCCAGATGACTGCCGCAGCTGAAGCTCTCCTCCCACAGAGTCTTCTGAGGCCAAAAAAGGTGGGTGCGAGGAAGGGTTTCTCCACATACCTCTCCTCTTTACAGGAAGGAAAGTCTTTTCCAAAAGTCTTTCCGGAGAGTTTTGCTGTCCAATTCGCCAGTGTGTAGTTATAGCCCACACTTAAACTAATGACTGTCACTGATAATGTCTTTGCCATAATTGGCTTAGAATTATCAGAATTTACCACCCCTACCCTGGTGGCTGGGAAAAAGCCCCATGAAGCTTATGTATTCCTAATACCAGGAGAAAATTGAAGTGTTTAAACAAAGCAGTCCATAGTGGTAGGAGGCAGAGAGAACTGTTGTGTATTCAACAAAAGTTTACCACCTTTTACTGTTTTGTCTGCCCAATACCTTTACATGCCATTCTTGAGGTTAAAAATATCAGCCTCACACTTATGTGACACTCATCCTTTCATTTCCGAAAGAGAGACAACTTCAAGTTTCATCTGATTCTTACATCTGTCCTGGACATCTGGGTGATGCACAGTTTTTATTGGTTCCATATGTGCAAACCTATGGCTGAAAGATAAGTTATCTGCCCACAATGTACACATGTACAACAGAAGAAATGGAAAAAGATAACTGCCATAAAACATATTTGGACAGGGACAAAATGAGAGGCAAGGCAGAAACTCTGGTGCAAACATCCCTACTCATCTAGGCAGGAATCACGAGGACTCTGCCCAAGCAGCACAGTCAGCTCCCAGGAAGCCAGCCTAGAAGACCGGGTTCTGCCCTCCAGAAGGATGCCCTGGTCCATTGTCCTCAGTTGACCTGGTTCTGCCCTCTGGGTGGTTTGACCTCTGATCTGAGATGAGCAATATGTAACAGTGTTTTTGAAGGATGCACAGATTTAACTACCTACTTCATGTTGGTTCAGGTTTAGAGGCCTTCAACTTGCCTTAGAGATTGATCGTTCATAAGCCGTTCTTGGCCAGGATCAGGTTTTCTTAGTCACGATTTTGGAAAATGCTTCTAGTCACTTACATGGGTTACTAACCACAGGTAGAATTTTCGATTCAACATCGTTGCTACTTTAGAAATTTTTGTTTCCGTTGATCCTTTGCCATTTTGTTTCCATTGGTCCTTTGACCTTTGTATCCCAACCTCTTCCTGTCCTTTAGGTCAATAACCTCTACCTTAAGACCTTCAAAAAGCATAGCCTTTGTTGGAGAAGCTCCCACCTTTACTCGATCTTGGCAGACAGACTTGCCTCTCTTTCACTTAGAAATAATTAATAATGGGAGATATTTGCAAGAAGCCTGAGGCACCGAACTTATTAATTTTATTTTCTGATAAGTCTCCTGTTTCCCTGCTGCTTTATAAACTAGTTTTAGCTTAGGGGGCAGAAAATGACTTTCCAACGCTGCAAGACTTCAAATTAAAAGTCTCAGCCAACTCAGTTTTTAGCCTATAGGCAAAAAATGCCTCCCTTAGCAAAAACTATTTTCTTTCTTTTTGTTCTCACTGGGGCCACATTCAGACAATTTGTCTCTTTCTTGTAGAACCTCGTTGAAGGAGTCTATAAACAGCAAAAATTCTCCACACACTGAATTTCCCTTCCATTTCTTCTAAACTAGAGCCAGATTAGAATGTAATCTTCAATCTAAGAAATAACTAGTAATTGAACCAAATATTTGTGACTATATAACTTCCCAGATAGGAGTAGTATGGCCATCATTGTCTTCTATGTCATTCAGCAAGTTCTATATTTTATGGTCTTCCTTATAGTATTCTGGAACAAACTTGGTATTATGCAGGTGTTCTACACTTTAAATAACAGGGTACCTAAAATATAGTTGAAATTATATAAGAGTTATTTCTCAACAAGTCCAAGATATTTCAAAGGTTATTTTATTCATCAGTAATGTTAGCAAGAACACATATTTCTTCCCTCTTCTCCATCATCCTTATTGTGTTAGCCACTGCTTATGCTAGAATCTGGCTTTAGTGGCTACACGTCTTATCTCCCCAAACAGCTTCATCCAGAGGCAAAGGATAAACACATAAACAAACTAAAAACAGCAGTGACTTTGTGCATGTCTCTCCTCAAACACGGTGAAAATCTTCCCAAAATACCATTTTATCATATAGACCAGAGTGATACTTCATGCCTATGCCTGTCAAGTGAATGAAATCATACTTACTGGTTTAATCAAATCAATATTTGTCCCCTTAAACTGAGGAAGGGCCATAATATTCAAGAACCTCTTAGTTAAAAAGGCAGGAGGGGTGGTTGTTGGGTAGGTAACCATTACATTTTCTAATAACCTAAGCTCATATTTTAGAATGGTGTTTCTCAAAGTGCAGTCCATGGATAAAGTGTTCTGATTAATATAAACAAATACCTGCATCCTACTCAGATCTAAGTTAACAGATGCTCCAGTATAAGGTGCAAGAACTTGCATTTTAACAAGCTCCCAGGTGATTTTTTTAAAAAACACTAAAGATTGAGGACCACTGCAGAAATCCTTAGGACCTTATCTGACTCCAATTCATATCCTCATGTCATCTATATAGAACACTGTTCTTGGTGGATGCTTAATGGATTTAATTACTGTCATATTCAGAAACTGATAAATCTTTTTTAAATCCTTTTTTTTTTTTTCAATTTTCTATCCAGAAGAAGTTATCTAATTTCTTTATTACTTCTTGTAGGATCAAGCTCTTCTTTCCAAGCACTGTGAAAACCTAATAAATGCCATTTCAATGGGTTGTGTTAGTCCCTGTTCTAATTCTATTCCCAGAAAAGGGCTAAGAGAAGATATGATTTTTTTTTAATTAGGAGAAAAAAGTGAAAATTCAGTTTTTATTTTATTTTTATGAGGAAATCATTTCCTCTGGGCTCTCTTTGATGAAAACTGAAGTAGAATCTAGATTGAGAGTAAAAGGAGGTAATAACATCCTAAAATTTGATAATTTTTTAATGTTAGTTATTTGGCTGCATAGAACATTCTTCTCCAAGGAAAGCTAGCTTATTTTCCAATCCACTTATCATCCAGATCTGTGTAAGTTCCTCCCTCATCCATTGTAAATTATTGATTTCATGTCATGGGGCAGATAATAAGAGCTAGTAATTATAAGTGCTAATAGAGTGCTTACCATGTGCTGGGCACTATTCAGATACTTTATGTTAACTTATTTAATCCTCATATCCATAATTTGAGGCATGTATGCTTATTATGTCATAAGCCCCATTTTACTGACAAGATAACTAAGGCAAAGCAGATTGACTTACTCATTCATGAGTATGGGCTGGGTGTTTGAACTTGAAGTCTAGCTGCATAAACTGTTGCTCTAACCATGATGCTTATTAATGCCTCTCAACAAACACCACAAACTGTTGTCCTGTTAACAACTGATGGCATGTGTGGAGTTCTTAACATCTTGTAACTAGTTTGAAGCACCTAAAAACCAATAGAGTACTTTTCAAAGTTCTGAATTCTGGCCTTTATTGAAAAATCAGAAGATTTGTGCTGGCAATATTAGTCCAGGAACATCCCATGGCAACCAATAGCTTGATCTGAGTAGAAAATGTCCCCTTCGAATGGGCCACACTCTTTTTCGCTAATGTTCCTCTCACCCCCTATGACCTCTCGACACTGAGGCTGAGAGCTTATGCTATTTATTTTATTATAGTAAGGAAAAGAACTCACAGTTCTATCTGAGAGAGACAATGTAATATAGTGATTAAGCACATCGATTCTGGAGCCAGACCACTTGATTTAAACTCTAGATCCAACATTTATTAGTTGTAGAGTATGAGAAGTTATTCAATCTCCCTATACCTCTGATTCCTCATCTGTAAAATAGGGATAATAATATCCACTCGAAAACTTTTTATAAGATTTATTAAATGAGTTAACACATGTAAAGTATTTAAACTAGCATCTGGCACCTAGTAAGTACCATGTAGTCATTCTTCCATCAAAAGTAGGAAAATGAAAGATGGGCCAAGAGCACCCTTGCTCCACAAAAAATGGAAGAGAGCATATCACTTTGGATAACTGAAGAGTCTTCCTATGTGTTGTTCAATATACAAACAAGTTTGTAACTTGGCATAGGTAGGTTGGGTCCCATTGCACTACATTATCCCAGCTCAATTTCCAAAAGCAGGGAGCAGGGAGAAGTTCTCCTCCATCAGTTTCCAAGAGTTCCATGTTGAAGAAGCATTATATATCTGTGGAGCCAAAGACTCAGATTGCTATGTGACTCCACCTAATGTAACACAGACCTATGATGACAGAGTCAGGACTTGTAGCCAGCCTCTCACACCAAAAGCCAGGGTTCCTTCCACCAAACCTCCCAATCTCAAGTACTACCACCTCCTTGGTATTTATTATAAAATTAATTTCTTGCATTTAAAATCATGTTTGTATAACTGAAACTTTAGTTTACTTGTAGTGGAAGAGTGAAGGTCCTCTTCGACTCTTGGGTCCATTCTTATATAAGTAAAGATGAATTGATTTGTTTTGGGAGCAAATGTTATACATTTTTTTCAATTATGCCAGTTTCCAGGTGAGCATGCAGTGGGAAGGGATGCTGAGGAAGGTCACGGCTCCTCCTTCTTACTCCTAGAATCCACACAAAGTAGGAAAAAAATGACATGTTTCTTAGTGGTTTAAACACACCATTCCTGATTAGCATATTTTTATTAGTTTTTTATCTCAATATCATCTTAGTGAAAACATTAACTTTTTTTTTAATATACTGAGAAAATAATCATTAGAAGAAAATGTCAGGATGTCTAATGCATCCCACAGAATATATATTTTCTAAGAAAAGTGTTGGATAAATAAACTCAAAGAGTAAATAGCAAAACCTTAACTTCTTGGCTTGATATTTCAGACTCTCCACAATCCGGCACCAACATATGTCACATTAATCCACACATACACCTCAGAGCACCGAGCATGAGGTTTTTGCTGACCCCGCCACCATTATTGCTCCTTCTTCCAATGTCTCAGACATTGATTCAGGAAATATTTCTGGACATTTTCTTCCCACTTGCAGAGTTCATCATTCCCTTCTTTGTTCTAGTTTTTACTGATTACACTTAAAACGTGTACCCATAATTACATCTCTTCCACCAGGCTATAAGGTTCCTGAGGGCAGAGTCAAGTTGCTGCTTAAAATTGCTTTTCTTTAATCATTTGTTTTTATTTTATAATCTATGCTTATCACACAAACATTTTTTCAAGATAAATCAAAAGACGTATCCCTTCAAATCCTTTCATATTGGTTAATCAGCTGTTTATTTTCCATTGGCCATTCTAGTTTCACTCCAAATGTTTACACAATTTCACAGTGTTCTGAAGCAGTACAAATGCCATGCGAATAGCTGATATATGCTGAATTTGAACAAGGGGCCAGATGTTCTCTGAAGCATTTTTATACTCAATATCTCATTGATAATGAGGTAGGAGCTATGTATCGTTTCTATCTCAAAGATAAGAGAACTGGAGCCCAGGTAGGTCATACAATGTGCCAAGGCAAGTGGTAGGGTACACATTCAAACTATGAGCTATGCTTTCTCACCCACTGTTCTACACAGCCTCTCAGAGCAGTCTTTGTAAGCTGTCCTTTTTACACTCAACATTGAATTGTCAACATTTGCCATATAATCTAGCTTTTAAGGAGTTTTTATTTATATCATAGCAATGTAACTCATTTCAAAATCCAAAAGACTATTACAAAAAAAATAAACACAGTAACAAATGTCTTACTCATTTCTTTCTAGAACCTAACACAAAGCTTTTACTTGAATTGTCAGATCTGTTGATTTGATTTGATCAAATTCCTTAGATCTCTGTAGGAAAGTATAGTATCCTTGTCTAAGAAGAAGTGTTTTTCCAAGGTGACAAATGCTTCTTAGAAGAGCAAGAAGCATGGTTAACACAGCCTTCATTTCTTTTTTGTGCTACTGTGGAGCATGACACATAATGAGTGTTTAATACATATTCTTCCTCTAATTCACTCATTTGTCTGGCTGAATCAGTCTTCTTAGTAGCGACTCTGAAATTTTGGACTGATCTAATCAAAATATTGCTACTATAAACAAATACTTAACTCAGAAATTATTTAAAATCACACATATTTGTGTGACTGTGGAGGTCTTACGAACCATCTTCGACTCTTTCTTGCCACATCTTCCCTCTTCCTTAATGCTACTTAAGGTGACAAGGAGACATGCCAAGAGTTCCTGGTTTGCTGACAGTGCATTCAGTCATGAGTTGCTAAAATCTAGCTTTATCAAGTTACAAGTAACGAATAATTACCATGCAGCATATCACCTGGAGTGCCATTATGCAAATTTGCATATGGCTCAGCTGCATAGTTTAGACAAATATTTATCATCATCCTAAAGCCTGCCTTGCAAAGAAAAAACAGGCCAAGTGGTAGTCTATCATTACACATTTGCTATTTTTTAAAACAGAAAAGAACTAGGCTGTGTTTATCTAGGACACTAAAACTTTCTGGAGGAAGTTTTTAAGAAAACTTTGATTAATCTTAAGAAGAGACAATTCAGAGAAAAGAAGTGAACTGTCTTCGAATATGTGAGGGGCCAACATGTAGAAGAGGGAACAAGCTTGACTTCTCTTGTTCTGAAAGGCCACTTTAGAATATGTGGGTCAGAATCAGAATTACAAAGAGACAGCTCTCAACTCTATCTAAGGATCTAAGGCAGAACTTTTTTTTTAAACATCAAAATTCTTGGAAAGTGGATTTATCTTATCGCTGTGTACAAAATGTTTATATACTTTAAATATGTGGAGTTTTGTTTCTTTACCAAAGGAATCAAACATCCAGCTGAATATGTTTCTTTTTGTCACTTTGGAAGGTTATATTCCAGAGAGGCTGCTCCTGACCGGGAGAGTTTTAGAGCACCCCTTGGACAAGAGCTTGTGGACCATTTTCTCCTGAAATGCCTCTGCGATGGCAAATCCTCAGTATTTAATTTCTGAATTGGTCAAAAGGTATCCAGACTCATCTCTTGTTTATGAATAAGGTGATTAATGCAGCTAGAGGGCACTTTTGAGGACTCAAAATGTCAAAATCAAAAGGAAGGTGGTACTATGAATTTTGAGATAGAGCTACTTAGGAGATTTCTCAAAAAAAATTCTTGCTGAGACGGCCCCAAAGGCCTCCTTAATCCTACCAATTTGGGAAATAGAAGGTCAGCTATTCACCCAAGCAGGAAAATTTTTTTCAGCATGTTTTTTCTCTCATGACTCAAACCAAAAATAGAAAAAAGAACAGTGTTATATGCCGGAAATGCTCTATGAGCTCCCAGGAACAGAGAGAGATGAAATGTGACAACTGGACTTGGGTATAAGCCATGGCTCTGCTACTACCAGCTGGGTTTCCGGGATACATGACACAATCTCTGAGCATTTGTTTCCTTACCTGTAAGATTAAAATGACAACAAATACCTCAAAGTGCTGTAAGAATTTAAAAATATAAATAAGTATTCACAGTGCTCAGCACATATTAAACTCTCAACACATTGTAGCTGCTATAACAATTACAATTGTCAGTTATTTTTTCTTAAATTCTGAATTGCCCTTCCCATTGTGCTTTCTCACTTCATCCATTGTTTTGCCAATTTTAAAATTAGTTCGCATAAATACTTCTTGATTAACCCTACCAATTTCCAGCCCCCTTGCAATCCTCTTTAAGGGACTTTGACGGCATTTTTATATATAACTTGAAGTTTAGGGGGAAAAAAGCTGTCTTTTAAAAGAAGTTTTATCATCTAACTACACACAGCCTACACTGTATGTTTCAGTACTATCACAGTGTACAAGCTAATAAAAATTTGTAAAGATTTTTTAAAGATTTGGGATAAGAGTGTTTGGTTTGCGGTGAACACAAGACCAAGACTGTGGACATTGGAACAGACTGCCTGGGACAAACACTCTTACTTGCTCTCTGATACTAGGCAAGTTGCTGAATAACTGTGCATCTCAGTTTTTTGACCTTTTAATTGGGTATAAAGTAGGACCTACCTTATGGGGCTAGTGTGAAGATTTTAAAACATTTTACTTGAGGGTAAAAAGCATTTAGAACAGTGCTTGGCATACAGGGAGAGCTTAATGAGTGGTAGCTATGATTATTGCCGTTAGTAGTCCATTGTAGCAGCGACGCAGGGTTCAAAATTATGGAAGAAAAAGAATAATAGGAATAGTGTATGCAGATATTATTTTACAGAAAATAGATCTTATTTTGGTATCCAAAACTTCTTGTCAAAAGTTATCTTCCCTTGATTAACTGTGGAATATAATCCAGTGACTGACAGGCATGCTATAGTAGGTTCTACATGCTACAGATATGATGAGATGCCAATTGATCAAGATCTTCAGACATCACAGGCAAGTCCAACATGGACTACCTTTAAAATCACTCTTCAGTATTCATGAGCTATCATATTAAACATTTTCCCCAAATTGTACTTTTATATCTGATGCATGGAAATTAGATGCATGGTTTAGCAATACAAAAAATTACTGTTTCATCGGTACGGCAAAGAACAATGTTATACATTTATGAAAAAGGAGAAAATTATAAGTAGAAGATAAGTCCTATATCCTGAATTTAAACTCCAGTTCTACTAGAAATTAGCTGTATGACTTTGAGATAGTCTTGTCTTCTGGGCCTCAGTTTCCCCAGTTGTTGAAAGGAAAAAGTGAGTTACCAAACATTAGTCATCCATAGAACCGTACAATTATTGCCATATCCATGAATATATTCATCCTATACAAAATCTTTGAAATCATGGTTTTCATGCACTATTTAAAATTTTTATAATGCATATTGAAAAATTTATTAAAAGTTTAAAAATAATTCATCCTTCTGCAACCTAGAATCATACCTTGTACAATCTAGAGCAGACTTTTTGGGGAACATTAGAGTAGTTGATCACTGAAGTCTCTTACAATTCACAGACTCAGTCATGCTATATCTGGAAAAGAAGAAAAAGAAAAGAAAGAGTAGTGTGGAGATAATATTTACTTTTGCAATCTCCGCATGATTTTTAAATTTTTAGTTAGAGGAGACAGAACCAAGCAAATCATCTCATAAAATGGAAGATTCCATCTAATCTCAAAGTCAATGTTTTGACCAACATATATAGGTACTTTAGATACAGCAAGAAAATTGAAAACTCAAAGCACAATACTGTTGAGAGAACTGAGTCATACTCATCAGTACAAATGGAGGGCAAGATAGCGTGACTCAATTTCAACCTGGAAAAGAGTCAAGGAATATGTGATAGAAAAAGGGTAGGAAGTTCCACAATAAGAAATGAAAAAGATGTGATGTGAGGACAAGGGGAAAACAAAATGTTTGTTCTTTTGCATTCTCTCACTTTTTCTCAGTTGTCGTCTTTGTCACATAAAATTTACTGTTTCAAGTGAATCAGAACATCCTAGTAGGTTGTTAACGACCTTCATAAATCAGGTAAATTATTTTTTTCTTACCATTTTTCTTCTTCAATAATTTTATGATCAATGTATGCTGCCTCTCATTCAAGAAAGTAGTGGCCCTGCCTTTTCTGTGTTAAGGAAAGGCTAATGGAAACCAAAGGGCTCACCTCACTGGGTGGCTTTTCTATCTTTCCTAAGCCTCAAGGCTCTGTCTCTGACCAAGTCGAGAACTGTTTACAGGATGATGGAAGCCAGAAGAATGGAATCTTTCCTCTAAGAGTTGAGTCAGAAGTGGTCTTTTTGTGGAAATGCAAAGCTCAGCACTATGAGATGGATAAGAAATAGGTGAGAAAAAGGCCTCTTTGCTGTCCGGCTGTCCTGTCTTCTGGTTTACTGAAGGGGCCTCGAGCTCTTTGCTCCTTATAGCCTGTGTTTCTCAGCATCATTGAAGAGGCTCCTTGGGTTCCCCATGCGTTATCTTGTTAGAGCTTTGGGAATACTTAATTTACTTATAGCAAGGAAAGTATGAAGGAAAAAATGTCAACCTCTACACCAGAGTCACAGAAAATCCAGGGAAAAACTAAAGCCACAGCTGGACCCTAAGAAAGATTTCATAGTTTTACTCTCTCTACTCAGCTTTCTCTTCTTCCATTGTGGCAATGAATTATTCTTCTCCACTAGAGAATTGCTCTTATTCTTGAATACAAAATTTGCTCATTCTAACTTGTGAATTAACCATTTGAAGATTTGTGAGTATATTTTTCTGATGGTTTTCTTTTCTAAAGTTATGCACCATTGATCTTTTGAGAGTACACACAAAGGGATAATATGCACATCCTAGATTTCCGAGGGATTCCAAGCATTTTCCATGGAGATTCCCAACATTTTTAAGAGAGACAGTTTGTTTTTCCAAAGCCATGTGAGTGTACATTCCAAAATGCACATACATCGAATTGGTCCTGTACATCTCAGAGAAGCCACGGCGACAACTCCCAGTCACCTCTCTCTGCTTCTCCTTCCACCAGAAACTTTCATGAGCCCCCAGGGAGGAGAATTAATCTATTGACTTGGACCCCTGTAATAGATCGCTCATTGATTATGTTTAGACAGAGGGCAGTCGAAACCTTTATTTTATTATTGAAGACAATAAGTCACAGACCGAAGAGAGAATTCTTCCCAAAACTCAAACCTCACCCAGAAGTTGCTTCTTGCTCTTTGTAAGGCTCATAGCTCCCTGTGTTCTAGTACTTGCCTTACCATAGTATCATGTAACTATCATTAGGGTTTAAGCGACACCTCAAATTCCACATAACTCAAGAAACAAAAAGCTTCAAGAAGAGAGAGAATAACATGATGAGGATAACTTAATCGTTGCAAACATGGCAAACTTATCACCATTTTCTAAACAGAATTTGCTGCTTCAAAATTTCCATGTGCCTGCCATTCATGCTGCCTAAAGTGCCTTTTTCTCTCTCTTTATTTATCAAGCTCCTACTCATCCTTCGAGGCCTAATTCAAGTGTTACTTTTGCCAGTAAAGCTTCTGTTAGTCTCTCCCTGGCTTCCACTGCCTTTGTTGGTAAATCTACTATAGCACACATGATGGTTAATTATGTGTGAGAACCCCATAATGCTGAGAATATTCAAATTTTGTCAACACTAGAGGCACACAGCAGACCCAAGGCCTTACTGAGGAAACATAATCCCATACTGATGAGCCTTTCAACTCGTAGTTATCTAGCAGGAATAGGAAGCAGATTGCACAAACATCTCCAATTAGAAAACTGAATTAGACATCACTTGAGGTTTGTAAAGAGAATCGTTGTCAATCACTGCCCTTCTCAAATAAAATGATAATAAATACATCCACAGCCCAGAGGTGCTAGGGGGATGTATCGTAGAATGTGTGATATTAACCAGGAAAAAGGATGTGCTGTGCAGGGATTTTACACCGGAAAATGATTTGGTGGCTTCTTCCACCTCTTTTACGGGAAGACCTCTCCACTGCTTTGATAACTAAACACGAACGACAAGTACTATTTTCTACCTGTGAATACTAATGAGTCACATTATTATGTTATGTTCGAATCTGCAGAGAGTGATTTCCGGAGCCTTGCCTGTTGTTTGGTCAGCTTGAACTTACAACTTTAGGAAAGAGCAGGCTACTTTTACCGGGTGTTGCTGTGTGTGCAATCACTAAGTAGGTGAATAGCATCCAGTAAAAGAGATAAAGGTTTTATGTCCCTTCAGAGAAGCAATGCAGTGTGACTTGAGGTAACAGGCCTAAGTTATGAATAGGCATGATCAGTGCCATCCCTGATGGATGACTACCTTATGAGACCTTTAAGAAATGCAGCAGGCTTATGAGAAGCACCATGGAGACATGAGCACCAAAGTGAAAGATGTAGCTTTCCCCCCTCAGGCTATCAGCATTAGGTCCCGCAGTGCTAATGTTAAGGCCATAAAACCCTTGCTCCAACCACTGTGGGGAGGATGGTTTTTCAGCAGTCATCACTCATACATAGGTAATTACCTTTCCTCTCCCTTCATTGTCTTGCTGCTTCTACACAAGCTCAGGGTAGAGGCAGGTCATTTGCTTTCCGTAGTGATGTACTGTGTTGTCCACTCTTCCCTTTCTCTGTGAGGCCGAAGGCCACCCTCACTCTTCCAGATGAAAGATCTTTATATAATCATGGTAATTGGTGAAGCAATATGATCATTAGTCAGCACATAATTCTAGACAAATACACTTGATGACATGAAAAGTCACAAAAAATGCAGGCTCTTTTAGTTCACAATAAAAAAAGCTATTCTGATATGTTTCTTTGAAAGACTTTTAAGATCATTTTCAAAGAGCACTGCAGTTAGTTTTCAAAAACAAGTAGGCTGCCAACATCCTTTTGGAGACAACTGTGTGTGCAACATGGTATAGTGGGAAAAATTTAGAGTCAGCAATCTAGGCTCAGCCTCTCTTAAACCTGTGCCTTTTTGATTACGTTGTTAATGACTCGGACTCTGGTTTTCTCAGGGCTAACTACTATTTACTTTCTAAGGCTACTGTGAAGGTTACATATGGTTTTGGCATTAAGTCAGAACACAATAAATAGTAGCTTTTAACATGATTAGTTATATTATGATTATTACCTTGTTCTTAGCCTAAATTTACACCTACATCTAACAAACCATGTCTTCTTTCATATCAGTCACAGCTGAATGTGTTTGTAGAAGCAGTTCTGGGAATTGTCCTGAACTTTTAGTTAAATCTTTAAGATAATACCAAGTTTTGTCCACCTTGGGATTTGCAATATTAAGGTACTATCCTACTTTGCTCACAAGTTAGATGGTAAAAAATAAACCCGCAGACTATAAGGAAGAAGGAAGGAAAACAGGTTCCTCTGACAGCTCACTGGAAAGCATTAGAAAGTTCTGCTAGTACTTCCAAGCACAGAGACCCAGAACAGGGGTCGGAGCAAAAGTTATGCTGCAAAGCTCTCAGGCATGATGTAAAAAATATAATAGAGACATTATAACTCCAAAAATTTGTGATGTGCCAGGTGTCATTCTAGGCACTTGGGAATAAAGTCATTAACAAGTCAAGTCCCTACTCTTCTAGAGCTTACCTTCTAG